CCTGAAGATTTCATTTAAAGTCAAATCTGATGACTATGACCATGGGTCAGAATTGTCAGGGCTATCGAATGGTGTATGATTCGACCACTTTTACGTCTGCTGCATTTTTGCCCTTCCGGCACCTTATCAAAAAAGCATTCTTGACTGAAAACTCAAATAACCATTGTTTCCGATTCCGAGATTTTGTCGACGAATTAAATCCTTTTCTTTTGATTCTAGATCTGTACTCTTGTAGTTACATCGTTCGAAGGAGAAATCTATCTTAAGGCAACAAGAGAATCAAACGATTCGACGCTACTCCATCTGCACGGACTTGGCCACTGGTTTCCTAACCAGAATGCCCACATTTCTATTTTACGCATGGATAAAAATCATAACGGATAAATCAATCATAATCCGTCCAAGCGAATTATCAAACAACTTTCGAAGCAAGTTCGACTAAAACTACCACTTTCCCACGGAGAAGAGCTATTCCCTGTACCTACGATACCTACGACTCAGCACAACGACGTCACCGCACCAACAAACATCATGCGCTATGCTACGACAGCGCTAAAAATGAATTTCTTTCGATTCTTACGTTTACCGATAATATGTAGTTCTTTTTGTTTCCAAACTTCTGTCCAGTAGCTTGAGCGTAGCAGCATCGCGTTTTCCAGTCACAGATAATTGAAAAGCATTTTGAATTTTTTCAGCATCGGCTCCATGCTTACTAGACAGGAAGGACAATTGTGTTGTTTCGACTGAGTACCATCGGGATTTTTACATGGGTTATAACCAATTTTTGTAAGATATTTGTAGGCATCGTGAATCGATTTGATTCGATTAATATCAGAGTGACTTTTATTGCGAAAAGCTGGAGATTTTGCTAACTTGTGCTTCGATAAACAAGTGACGTGCGTTATTTGTGCACGACGGTATTACAAAAAAGAATGCCTCGTGATCAATATCGGTTGCATTCCAAATCAACATGTTTTGTATCCAACAGACGAATTACCGTCATGTGTCACCCGTTGGATATAGACGTTGATCCTCAAACCAAATACGTTCAAATAACTGGTAAGTGATGTACTGTTTCCCCACTCTAAAAAACCAATTTACATAGAACCGATTCGACAATTACTGGTTAACTCCAAGGATAGTAGTGCGATCATCAACAGAATGCTGCTTTATTGGAAGGCGATTGATTTGTCCAGTGGTTGTGCTACTATCTGTGAAAAATGTCACGACAAATTGAGCAGTAACAAACTACGAGCTAACTAATTTGATGTGGTTGGGTGACGTGCCACCTGAATTACAGTATCTCACACTATATAAACAAAAATTGATTGCTCTGGTAACTGTCAAGTCAAAACGTATCAAAATCGTAAGTGTTTTTGTGCCGTCTTCTATTGTATCGACATTCAAGTTGTGTCATCAAGCTGTTCTCTGTAACGCGTGATCCATCTTTGGTACAAACCGCTTTGAAAGGCAACGTGATAACATTCCCGCAAAGTGTATCTGACATTGCTCGATCTCTTCCTTTGTCACCAAACGAATTACCACATCTGATCAAGATTATTTTCGTTGGTCGAACAATACTAAGCAAGAAGCAAGCTCGATCAATTCTTACAGTTCGACGAGAGATAGTTCGAGAAGCTCTCAACTGGCTGCATAGAAACAATATTCTGTATCAAGACATTTTCATTGATCATTTATTAGTGAACAAATTACCGGTCAACGATGTTCCTGATTCCTTATGGGATACCTTGTCAATAGTGGAGCGATCCGAGAGTGACAACATCAATCGATCGGGTTATGCAGACAATGAATTGGCTATAGAAGAAACAAATAGCAATGGTCCAATTTCATTAGCAACCAGTGCTTTTATTGATACGAGTGCTGCAACAACGTCATCTGGGGACATTGCAAGACATTTAATCGGAAGAATCAATGTAGCTGATGAAATGACAGTTGCGAATGATGATATATATTTAGTACCGCATGGTCAGCATCCAGTTAACGAATATTTCAACACGACGTTCTTACCTGGTATCCGAGCTTTTCGACAATAAATTAAAATAATATTTTCTTCTTCTTTCAGGTTTGTATCCAACGTTGTTCCCGTATGGTGTGGGAGGTGTCGAGAATGAAAAGAGACTAATACCTGTGTCATGTTCAAAACATATGAGATATTTCCTTTCCTATGATGATCGTCGATTCCAGATGAATCCATCATTCATTTTCGTTAATTTCAATATTCTACAACGAAGAGCCGCTTGTCCAAAAACACGAATACTTGTATCACGACCATACTTTACTTCACAGGCCATGGAAATCAATCAGATTACGGCAGCTGAAGTAAAAACGGTTTTGAGCCAGATTGGATCAAACGCATCAAGTTCTCATACAAATCCGGGTATATCAACATTATTGAAACAAGTCAAGACCGTTGCGGGAACTGTAATGGGATCGAATCAGGCTCGTGCAAAATGCTGTGTGGAACTGCACGCTCAAATCTTTTCTTCAGGTCTTTCATCTATTTTCATTACCATCAATCCGTGTGATTTTACACCATCCATTAGCAATGAAATTTCGGGTGTAGACCTCGATATTGATCATTTGATATTTGACATAATGCCTGGTTCGCAAGAACGAGCGGCCATTGCTGCCAGTCATCCAGTGGGTATTGCACGGTTTTTCCACAAACTGATAGAACCGATACTGAATACACTCATTGGTTACAACCATCAACTGCATCAATCGCATCCAGGTGGCGGAGTTCTGGGTGAGATTGAGGCATATTACGGGACAGTGGAGGAATCTGGCCGAGGCGCGCTACACCTTCATATGTTACTTTGGTTGGTCGGCAATGTAAACCCTAGCGGTTTGCGTGAATCAATAAAACATGAGGTATGTTGAGATGAGTGAAGTTTTACGTTTATTATCACAGGTAAGGAATATAATGACTATTAGAAGCAAGTATGTTTTGAGTATGAAATCGATTGTTATCTATTTAGGCTTTCAGAGATAATCTGATCAAGTATTTGGAGGATATAATCAAGGAGGATTTATCTTGCTTTCAAACGGAACAAGTTCGATCAGATGTTTCCGAAGTTGAAAAACAAAATCGAAAACGCTTCTTGTAAAACTTCTATATGTGCACCAATGCCGACACCAAAAGATCTTGATTTTGAGGAGAAAAAACGAATCGCAATATGCATGTTAGTGGCGGAATGTCATATACATTGTCACACGAGTACTTGTTACAAATATGCCAATGAATCATCGGGAAATGTTCCTCGATGTCGAATGAGATATCCGAAGGAATTGCATGATGCCACGACGATCGATATTGAGACAGGAGAAATTCGTATGCAACGAGCACATCCCATGTTGAATAACTTCAACGAGTGGCTCTTGATGGCATGCAGGTGACTATCTGACATAAAATCAAATGTAATTCAATACTACTTTCAATGCTTTCATTATATAAATGCAACATGGATATTAAATTCATTTGGTCCGGTGGCGATACGAAAGCACTTTTGTACTATATTACTGACTATATCACTAAAAGAAATTTGTCGTTTCATGATACCCATGTGTTGATTCATCGCGCGATCGATTCGTTTACAAAATCGGCACACAATCAGGAATATATCGACGCTCAACAGGGTTGATCCGTCACGACGCCTCATACTGCGCTGTTTCAATACATTGGCATTTCAACAAGAGATTTCATCGGTGCAAGTCGCTTCTTATTTGATGGGTTGGCCCGATCATTATTGTTCGCATACATTTGTCAACGTATACTTGATCGGAATCGAACGATATCTAGAAAAATCATTGAATGAAGTAACTGTTGTCGGTAAAAAAAAAGAATGGACTCGAATGTTTTTTGAATAACGTTTGACAGAAAAGTGATAAATGCTTACGGTCTTCACTAATCGAAAGTTAGGACCTAAATGCAGCTTTTCACAATGAAAGTCATTTTCAAGATCTTTCCCTGAAG